GCTCACGTTGCGCACTGCCAGCAATTTTATTGTTTTGCCATTATTTCAGGTGTGTGTTTGTGTGTGTTGTTGTTGCTGTTGTTGCTGTTGTTGTTGCTGTTGCTGTTGGTGTTGCCAACGATTTTTATGACCCAAACGTAGCGTGCCTCTCAGACTTCTGATCCGCTTCCTGCTACACTAATCCGTCTGTGTTTTTAGTGCCGAAAATTTTAACGACGCATCTTTCGCAATTTGCTTAAGGAATCTATAAGCAACCTGTGTGTGCCTGTGTGTGTGCCTGTGTGTATGTGTGTGCCTGTGTGTGTGTGTGTGTGTGGATGTGCGTGTGTGAGCATTGCTGTTTCCCTTGCGATTTTTCCACTTTGTCTGGTTCGGGTTTCTTTTGTTGCAGCCGTTGTTTGTTTTTATGCGCGACCGTTGGTTGAACGCTTCGCTGCTTTGATTTGCCAGTTTCAGTTCCAGTTCCCCGTTCCCCTTCCCGTTCCCGTTCCAGCTGCCAGTTTGCCCTCTGCCCAGTGTCTTTGGCATTGCCCTGACCCAGGGACCTGGGTCGTCAGCGACTCCCGTTTCCAATTCCCGATTACTGCTTGGACAGAGAGCGAAGTCGAGAAAGACAGAGAGAGACAGACAGAGAGCGAGAGAGAGAGAGAGAGAGAGAAAGAGACAGAGACGCACTCGTGCGCTCTTCGGTCTACAAAGCAACAAATCGAGTTTGCGAATAAATGAAATTACTTTTCGGTCTAATGACCATCATCTGCTGATTTTATTAGATTTGTTTCCTTTGCTCTGTTTGTTTGCCGTTGCTGCTGTTCCTGCTGTTCCTGCTGCTGCTGCTGTTCCTGCAACTTCCGAGTTCTTCTTGTCAGTGGCTGCTGCAATGAGGCAAAGAACGTGAATAGCGGTAACACAAACCTGGCTAACTTTAAATGACTTTTGTGCCCAATCGCTGTAAGCACAATTCTTGATAAGGCAGCAGCATTGCTCTGACTTCAGGTTCAGGGGTCAAGCTCAGTTGTTGACTGCGCTCAGCATGATTTGTATTCCAATGTTGCAGTCAATGACACCAGCTGACACCTGACACTCAAATATTTGTTTATTCGGGTAGCAATAAATGCCATCTAAAGTAAAAGCAATTAAAATTCAACTAGTAATATAATATGCACAATAAAACCAAATATTTTTTGGAAATATTCGATATATTTAAGGCAAAATGAAATTAGCTTGTTGAAAAAAGCAAATTCATGTTGAATATCCAATTTCATTTTATTCAACAAATCATTTGTTTGTCAAATTCATTTCAAATGTGTTTAGTATTTTGGTGGTCTGCTGAGTTTTATTCAATTGATTTGGCCTGTTTGAGTTACGTTCTGCAGAAGTAGTTCAATTTGGAGCAACAACTAATAATTTGAGGGCAACGCATTAAAGCAAACAAAAATGGAGCCCTGTCGACAGCCTGGTTTTCATATTTATATTTTGGATTCGAGTTTGTTTGCTAATGCGGCAGAGCCCCCTGCTGCTGCCTTACTCATGCCACTCCACTGTCGCCCTGCCTTCAACCCCAACCGCTGCCAGCTTCACCTGTTGTACATGTTGCTGTTGTTGTTGTTGCTGTTGTTGTTGTTGCTGTTGTTGTTGTTGTGCGTTCCGCCTCTGACATTTCATTTTTTATGAAACATCTTATTTTTCTAATTTGCAACAGCAGGTGTCGCCATTTTGTGCCATTTTGTTTATAACACAGAGTCTCTGGCATTGGCAATATGAGAGACCAGAAAAGAGCTCTGCAGCAAACTGGATGCTTCCTTGCTTCCCCTTCAATTTCAGTGCTTTGGCAATTTTCATGCTGTTTAATAACGCGCTGTTCTTGTTGTTGTTGTTGTTGTTATTGTTGTTGTTGTTATTGTTTATGTTGTTGTTGCTCCGTGGATGTAAATTCAGTTTACTGTAAAATTTAATAGAAAGGAAATTTTTCGCACAACTGGCGCATGTGACTTTATATGGTTGTGGGTGTGTGTTGTGTGTGTGTGTTGTGTGTGTGTGTTGTGTGTGTGTGTGTGTGTTGTGTGTGTTTTCTTGCAAATTGGCGTCCTTTGTTTATAGTGTTTCACATGTTTGCATATAAAGTGAAAATTCTTGTTAAGCGTGCTGTAAAAATGCGTTTAATAAGCTCAACGCACAATCAGACGCCTTGTTGCCGCTTTTAAGATTGGCCTCAACCTCCCCCGAATCGAGTTACCCCACACACACACACACACACACACACACACACACATACATCTAGAAGATTTGGGTGTCCTGGCTATGGCTTCCTTTATTAATTCATAAAATGGCGTCGACAGGTGTCGTCGACGATTTGCTATATGTTGGTGCTTTACTGTTACTTTTATGGGACCAAGTGTGCCCAGATACTCGCAGCATGTTTTATAAAAAAAACAAAAATAACCAAAGAAAATTGAAATTTTTGTTAGCAAATAAGTATCACACAACTGTGATGGCCAAGTGGTAAACAGTGGAAACAATGCACGGCAAATACAAAATACAAACAAAAACCAGGCAAGTCAAGCAACATACTCACACTTATAGCAACAATAATTCGTTATCTCTGGGGCGTATCAAAATCACGCTTGATTAACTTTTTCAAGTCATTTAACAAATAAGCAATAAAATCCGTACATTTCTCTCAGCGGCCAACCCGTAACAGAAGCAGCAGCAGCCCAACCAGCCCAACCAGCCCAACCAGCTCAAGCAGCTCAAGCAAGGCCAAGCAGCCGTTTATGCGCCTTGAACCAATTGCCGTTTGCGATTTTAGCCAATTGTGAGTTGCTCACAAGGAGCATGTTTTTTAATTTGCCTTCATTGATATCCTTATGCACACCAAATGGCCAATAAAATCCTTACACACAGTCACACGAATCCCTTCAAAATAAGTATCTATATAAATTATATTAAATATTTAATGGCTATACTTGCATAAGTTTTCTTTTGCTAAAAGATAACTCTCGATAACACTATGAAGCTATTGAATTTATATAAGTACAGGAATAAATACTAATACTAAACATGTTTAGAACAATATAGTATTTAATATGTATATATTTAAGTTTTTTATTTGCAAATATTTAGCAACAAACAGACTGTTCTGGAAAATAAGGAGTGACTCAATGTTAAATGTGTTTATAATAATAAACATCAATTAAACTTGTTTGTAAATGCTAATGACCACAAAGTAAGCTTTTTGGGAAATGCTTGACATTAAACATATTGAAATTAAAATTGTTTCTGCTTGCAACATTTAATCCTGATTAGTTTAGTGGTCAATATCTCTCAAATTGAGTTATCTAGCAGCAGTTATCTAGACGCATTTGAGCTCGACATAAATTTGTGGCATAGATGGCACTGTTTGCATTGCACAACTACATAACTGGATACATGTGTTGTCTGTTGTCTGTTGTCTGTGGTCTTGCCAAAGCACTAAATTAAATACACAGTACGCCAGGATAACGGAGGCAGCAGCAACAACAACAGCAGCAGCAGCAGCAGCAGCCAAGCAACCAGTGTGTGTTGCGTCTAATGGCCAAATGGAATTTTCGTAAATTAGCATTAATTAATCAATGTAGCAAATGAATTTGTAAGCCAGATTTGTCCAAGGTGAGCAGGAGCCAAGTCATTAAATAAATAAAACCATCAGTTTGTTTTTGCTTGTGTGGTTCAGGGCAGCCGTAGGAGCTTCTTCTGCAGCAGGGCCCATTCAATGTGTAATCAAGCCGTTGCTGATTTGACATTTGAAAGCGAGATTAAATTTGATTGTGCACAAATGCTACCAGCCACAGCCTCACACACATACCACACACACACACATACACACACACACAAACATATATGGCACATGGCATACAGCATTTTGGTGGCAAGGACAACGTATTTAGCATCGCGCTCCAACTGCTCCGTTTGGCTTTGTAAACCTTTTGGCAATTGCCAGTTGCTTCGCAGTCAAATACGGTGCACCCAAATCTGCATTAGCAAATAGTACATGCAACTGCAACACAATCATGCCTCTGTTTGTATTTGGGCAAATTAAATATTGAGCCAGGCATTTGGCCTTTTTGGTGATTGTGTGCCTCCAACTACCATTGCCACTCCGACTCTCTGACTGCGATTAGCCCTAATGTTATGTGCATGGCTGCATTGTGGAGCCGTACAAACAAACACACCTCTGAGGGAATCTCATAAATGCAATCAAGTCGCTCTAATAAACAACCATTGATTCGAACGTTCGACTTAAAGCGTATTTAATTCTCCAATTTCAATTCCAATTCGAACTCGAATTCCAATACAATTTATGGTAAATAATAAGACCAGCTAACATCAAAGATCAATCGTTGATAAAAAACTTGAAAAGTGATTGACTGGATGGCATTGACAGCTTTGCCAACATGATGAGCTGAATATGTAGAGTAGAGGTAAGCTGGCAGTCAAACAAAAACACACACACAGCTGTCTCTCTGTGTGTGTGTGAGTGTGATCAGGCACAGCTTAAGACACTCAATCAAATGTGAAAATCAATTGCTGCCACACGCTAATCAGACAACATTTATACGGCTGCAACTTCAAATCAAAAATAGAAATAGAGCTGTCAAGCTGTGCTCTCTTGCCAATCACACTTGGACACACACACACACACACGCAGACACACACTCACACACACATACACACACACACACACACACACACCCACACACACAGACACACACACATACATACACACACACACACAGCCAACACACACAATTTGCATAGCATACATTTGCGCGCGTCGCAGACATCGTCTAAGAAAAGCTGAACCGTTTAGGGCCGTAAATTCGATTTGCGCTTCAATCAACACCTGCACACATCTTGTACTTCATCCTCGGCTCCGCAAATTGAAAATGACAGCCAGACGAGCAGCGCTGGAAAAACACAAATTTGAAAATAAATAATAAATCGCATACCCCGCAATTATTTTCACAGATCGCATTTTATTTTTTATACTTTTACGGATTTTTGACAGTGTTGTGATTCATACAAATATAATACTCGTGGAGCCAAACAAGCAAACACATACTCGTCACGCGTTCAGCATGGACAAACTCTTTTTAAGACTGTGAACAGGCCAACTGGAACAGGGTCTGGATGACTGTGCGTGTGGGACGACCCGTCATGGATTCGCGCAACAGATAGGGTAATGGATTGACACGCGTAAGCATTCCAGTGCCACGAATGTCGAGATGCACCCAATCCAGGCAGGGCACTAGCGTGTGCAGAATGGCTGCAGCCAGGCAGGATGAGGCCGGTCCGCGTCCAGAGTTGGACATGTCATATGTGGTATTCTTCTTGACGATCTGTTTGAAGTAGCGGAACAGTGGCATGCGCCAGATCCGATCACCGGTAATGCTGCCCGCCTTGCGGAATTGCTTGGCCAAATACGTGGAGTTGCTCCACAGACCCGTCGCACTGCCGCCAAGTCCATAGCTGACACCCTTGGCCACACTGCCAATGCTGACGACCATTTTGGGCTTGAAGTTCGCCTGCGCATAGAGCAGCGGATCGGCCATCATAACCACCGGTGCCTTGCCCACATCCTTAATGCCCAACGTAACGCCATTGAGCAGCGTCACCACATCTCCACACTTTACAGCCATGCCGGATGGCATGTGCTCGCAGAGCGGCAGCACAGCCGTTATGTTCATGGGCAGGGATAGGGCAGCTGCGGCACGGAGTACGCCCACACAGAGTGCGGCACCGGACATGGCGCCGCGATACTTGTGCATGCCCGCCTTTGGCTTTAGGCAGAGACCACCGCTGTGGAAGGTCAATCCTTGGCCCAGGAGCAGCACAGACTTATCCTCCGGTGATGTGCCGCAATAGGTGCACTCCAGCAATAGGGGTGGCTCACAGGAGCCCTTGGCTATCATCAGGAATGAGTTGAGACTCATATCCTCGATCCAGTCCATGGAGCGCACTTCCACCGAGACGCCGCAGGGACACAGTGCATCGACTGTGGCCTGTGCAAATATCGAGGGCGTCATCTGATTGGCCGGAGTATCGGATAGGCGACGTGCCAGATTCTGTGATTCCGCCTTGAACAAGCCACGCACCCAGGCATCGTTGTCGCCCTTGCCATACATCTGCAGCTTAGGTGTGACCAGCCGGTTCTTCTTTAGCTTGTTTATATTGTAGCGCCACAGGGCCAATGCGGCACCTTCGGCCGCCTGCTCTGGATAGTCCATGCCATCGACATGCACTTCGACCATGCCCTGCACCTGTAACGCACGTGCTCCGGTTCCGGCTGCGATACGTATATTCTCCATGCCCTCGTCGAGCTCCTCGAGCTCGTTGTAGCCGGCGTCCGCTGGACCCATGCCAACAACGGCCACCGTCGAGTATTCACCATCGAGACCGTTGAACAGCAGTCCCTTGCCGGGTCGTCCGTCCATGCCACGATCACGGATCAGACTCATTAGGCTGCCGCCAAGATCATCGTCCAGCAATTGGCCACCTTCCGATGATTTGATCGGCTTGTCGCCATCCTTCTGGTAGACGCCAACGACGACGCCCTTTGGATCATCGCACCTGGTGGAAAATGTGCGATAAAGCTGCTGAGCTCTGAGCAGACGTTTAGCCGATTTCAACACACGGATTTCTCGAAGAAAAGGCATTTTCACAAAATTTCAATATCCAAAAATAAGAAAATAATTCACGAAAATTTTGATTTAGTTTTACAACAAATTTAACGTGTGTATATATATAAAAAAAAGAACAAACAGATAAATTTGAAACAAATATTTCCTATTTTCAGAAGCTAACACATTTGCTCAGTAAGGCAAGTAACTTTAAAATGAATTCTCTCCGGCAAAACAAAATAGAAATCCGTATTCCTGTGACAGATAAAGCAACGCCTACATAAATATGGCATTGAAAAATGGACACTAGTTGGATATTCAATTTTGCTAGATTAGCTCGCAGCCCATGACAGTTAGCTCTAAATAAATAATTACTTAATATGTATTTAAATATAAATTGCCAGGCAACATGGTTGCGGTTAATAAATACCTGCTAGTCATAAATAAGTACAAGCTACTTATGAGCCAGCAGCTGCGCCACTTTTTATCCATTCTGTGAGCTTTAAGCCGCTTAGCCAAAATTAAAAAAGGACTGGCACTTAATTATAGACTGCACAGCAGTTTCAACAACAACAAAAACAATAATAACTGAATACATATATATATATATATATATATATATATATATATAATTATTTGATATGGTATGAATTTTAATTTGCCGCCGGAATCGGTTGGCCAAGTGCACAGTCACAAGAAGAACAACAACAATAGCAACAAGGACAATAGGTGCACATAATTAATTTTCCAAGCCAGTGAATCAAGGATAATTGGGCTTAATTTTTTGGTGTGAAAAAATGCGCTTTAAGCGTAAATGAGAAGCTCAAACAAGAAATATATATGAACATGTATCTCTCCATGCTCTTGTCGAGAGAGAGAGAAAGAGACAGAGAGAGAGAGAGAGAGTCACTGAGAACTCGGCTAGCTGATACCCTGGCTGACAATCCTGAACCATGACCCTTAGATCCATTTTGAATGGGTTCAGTGCTTGAAAAGCATGTAGCTCAAACAAATACAATGATGGCAAATCAAAAACTGATTAGTGAAGAGCTTCCTGCTTCAGTTGAGTGTCAAAGCAGTCGTATTGTGTTAATCCGGTTTCTTATTCACATTATTAATGCGAATATTAATTTTAATTTTTAATATGTGTGTACATTTTACAGATGCACATTGATTCGGCCAAGCGCAATTAATTGTTTTCCCTTAGATATGCCTCATCGAGTATTGATGAAGTATTGAAATGCACCGTTGCCAGCTGTCGAATCTCTTAAATTTGATTGACTTAACACTTTAACATTTTTCGATTAAATGGCATTGAGCGAGAACAAATATATTGTTGAAAATTCGCAATTAAAATTTTGCCAACGTTGTTTTGTATTCATATAAATCTGTTGTTTTAATTATGCTTATCTTCCTGCACATGCCCAAATAATTACGATTTGTAAACTGCCAGTGGAATTCAATTTAAGTTCTGCAAAGTGTGAACTTATCTTGGGCATAATGTTTGAATTTGAATATACGACAGTCAAATGGCAGAACTGAGCAAACTTGCAACTGGCAACTGCCACAAGCACAAGAGTTCAAATGGAAATTCGAATGTGTAACTGCAGTGTTTGCTACAACGTATTTGCCTTGTGGGTGGCATAGATAGATAGTTTGGGGGGTATGGAGTGAGGTGTGCAAATTAACCCAATAATCCAGCAGTGCAGCAGCTGAAATGCCCCGAAACCAAATTTTGAAATTTTGTTATTTCTCACCTTTGCGCTTGACCTGCTCGCTTGATAACACAGAAACGACCAAGACAGACACCAAAGCATCCCGGAAATAGAGATGGGTATGGAGCAACAGCAGCAAATGAATGCCCTGCAGCTCTACAACACACACACATATAAGGACACACAGTGCAAATGCAAACAGAGGCAAAAGGGACAACTGAGAGACAGCTTGAAGGCCAGGCTTTGGCCAGGATACTTGTGGTTTAGCTTTTGGCCCGACAGTTTTGGCAATGTGTGCGGCAATCATAAATGTCTCCTTGTTGGATGATAAAATATTTGCGCAAGTTGAATAGTTCAAAGTATTTCATTTTGAATTAACATTTGTCTTTGCTCACTCGCCTGGAATTATGCAATGTGGTCGCCGATAAGCGTATTTCAAACGTTTTACCCAAGCGCAATCTGTGCTTGTATTTGCACAGGCTTTTGCATCATGTCTCAAGTATATATATATATAAATATAATATATAATACACACACATACATTACAGCCAGACTGTCATGCAATTCATATTCAAATTAAATTATCTTACTTTGATTTTTTGAAAAACATTTTTGCTTGTTGAGCACTTAATTGGTTTTAAGTAAAAGCATTCTGGTTTAACGTTTGCCAGCAATAATGCCCATATATGTGTTCTAAGTGTCCATATAATCAGCTCTTCAAGTCGTGCTTTAATTTGCTCATTTAGGCCAGGCATTAGAGCAAAGCATTAGCCATAACTTAACCAGGCTTGCGCCAACTTTTGGCAATGCACTTTGTCTAGCTTCAGTTAACACGCTCGCATACAGCACCGACTTTAACACCCTCCCCCCCATCTGACCCCTGGCCTGTGACCCCCCTTGGTACGTATACGTGTATGTATGTGTGTGTGTGTGTGTTGCTCACGCATGAACACATTTTCGGGTCGGGCATTTGGTGCTGCAGCTGTGCGAAAGGAGTTCGCAATCCTATTAAGCGGCTTACAAGTAAAATGCTGCCAGATTTTAATTGTCTGCACGGCAGCAGTCGAAGAGTACAAGCCAACAGCAACAACAACAACAACATTGCACATGGCACATACAACACACAGACGACACGTTGCGTATGCGCAATATGACACAGACAACTCTGAGCGTGTGTGTGTGTGTGTGTGCCTTAAGGCTGATTTGGTATAAGTAGGAACTGAGCGTGTGTGTTCCCATTAAGTAAATTTCAGTGTACTACATATGGGGCAGGCAAACACTTACGGTCTGTTGCGCATCAGTTGCTAGTCATGGTTTAGCAGCCAACCAACTAACCAACCAACAATCCTGTGGCTGTCGAATTAATCGTACCTGATGCGAGAGTAGAAAAAAAAAAAACAACAAAAAGAAAGGAAATAGTTAAGTAAGCCACCCATGCAGACTGGCGTCCAAATGATCTTAATCTTCTTGTGTCAAAATGATTAGAGTTTGGTTAAGATATGTCAGTTTGATAAATCTAGTGATAATTGGCCAAAAGCAAAACACTGCTGCGATTTCTTTTAAGACCTCTTTGAACTATTTTTCTACCGTATCTAAGATGTGTATATATGAAGTCACAATAATAACCTATGCAAACAGTAAACGCCTAAAAATTACTACTTTTAAGGACCCAAACGCTTGTAAATATTTCAAGAGAATCGAGATAAAATAAGCATACTTTTCAATGAGGGCAGGAAGTAAGTCGTCACCTGTTTGAACTGTAACCATCACTGTAACCTTACTGATCTAATGACGACTTTGTTCAATCAATAGTTCGAACTATCTGCATCACAAATAATAAATAAATAATTATAAATCCCTGTAATGAAAATGAAAATTGTTTCCGTTTTTGTCATTGAGTGCCACAAAATAGCCAGTCAAATGGCGTGCGATAAACTTTAAATTGTTTTTTAATGGTATTTTCCGTATAATCGAAATAACACACAAAAAAAATAATATAAAGAAAATAAAAAAAAAACAACACAAAAAGATTAACTGCTTTGGGCTCCTAAAATTTGCAATTTGGATATTCAACGTGCGACGGCCGAAACGATGGACACAATAAAATAATAAGCACCAAATTACACAAAGCGTGGAAAAATGGCCGCGAGCACCATTAACCGGGTCCAGAGTGGATGGCGGCCAAATGAATTCTAAAAGCTTTTGCGCCAAAGTGTTGACAACCATTTTGGTAATATGCTCAGGCAGACAGGCACTGCCTGGCAGGCACTGTGCCATGCCGGCACCCTGCCGGGGCCAAAAGGATGCTAAAACAATTACAACGACTGGCAGGGACGCAACAGCAACAAGGACAATGACAGGCGCAGATTCCAGTAAAATTTATTTGCTGCGCGATAATTTTAAAGAACAAAGACACGAACATTTTCGTAGCAATTTAGCCAGCCTGCCGCGCAAAAGGCCAAAGTGGGAATATCTCACCAAATATATATATTCTCCTTTCTTTGAGTTTTTCCCCCCAAACGCGACCTTTGTGTAAGCCAAATATTGCTGTTGGCTTTAATTAGCTCTGGCCAAGGCGCTAGGTTAAGCGCTTTATTAATACAGATACCTTTTTTTTCGTATATATGTAAAATCAATTCTAAAATTTTAATCAAAAGCTCAAATTCCTTTAATTTGATATAGACGAAAGTGGATTAAGACCAAGCGACAGAGCAAAAAGAATGCTCTTGACACAAATGCTAAAGGACATATTAAAATATGTATAGAATTTTTTTTTTCGGGGTTTATTTGAAGCTTATGGTGGCGTGAAATTTCCTGTAGCAAATTATTTGAAGCATTTTCAGCATTGCGTGTAAAATTATATTTCTTCTGCATTTCATTTCATTTTTACGGACTGATTTAATTTTTCTTTTCCCAACTTTTCTAATTCTTTTGTGATTGTTATTTGCGACTTAACTTTTTCGCTCCTTCGCTTATGCTTTTATAATTCTACTGTTGATTTTTGCTGTGTAAGTGTTGCGAAGTCGCAAATCAGGGTAGTTAGCCATGACTATGCACACATTAGGGGTGCGTTTCGTAGATAGGCAGACAAGTAGCATCGACTGCGCTATACTCTGTTCTATTTGTGAAAGTATTATAAGAACAGATGAATAATGTCGTATCGTGGACGTAGAAAATATTTGCATTTATTTTTCAGGTAGCTTATAACCAAATATACTCTTCATTTCCTTGAGTAACAGAGTATTTTTAAATGTAATCAAAAATTATGATTATTATCTTAATCCTTCTTAAATACCGCCGAAAAGTAATCGAAAGAAAACACAACGTTTTTACTTTATAGATAATTTTTTATTAAAATTTAATTTTTATTTTACAACTAAACGCTTAGAAACTAAAATGTTTTCGATTTAACTTAAGTACAGATAGAGAAGTATGCTAAAAATTCATATTTTGCTTATTTTGTATGTCTCGGCAAGTAAATGGAAACACATTCAAATCAAAATTCGTAAAAAACACAACCAAACAATTTTACATACGAGTATCAACCAGATAAGAAGATTTTCAAAGAGTCAAACTAATGATTAACATGAAATTGACGAATTTATGAATTTTATATTTGTTTATTATTTATATTATGTCGTATATAAACTATGGACCGATTTGATGTAAATTGTTTGCTATATTTATTATTTTATTATTATGTATAATTCAGCTTAAGGGTTTCTCTGCTTTCTGATTTTTATACGAGTGTATTGCTTAGTTAGTTAAATAGCAGATCTAATGTTTTAATGCTCATCAATTTATTATACTTAGATGCATTTATGAATGTGTGCGTATTCAATGCGGCTGCTAACACATACAGGTTTCTATTCATTCTGTGTGTGATTAGCTTTTTAAGTGTATGGTTTAATTGTTTTGTGTGAATATCGTTTAAATAGGCAATTAATAAATTTATCAAAACTTAACATCACATTGCTTCTCCAATTACATGTAGGTTAATATACGCTTTAGATTTTATAGTTTATAGGTTTATTTAATGCAATTCGATATTATTATTATATTTGATTTTATTATCCATTAAAATGCATGAAATGTGTGTTTTTGCCTTTGCTTATGTATTTATGTATGTACTTTTAATACTTGTTTGTTTTTCTTTTATATTTTGTATTTGATAGAATTACATATTAACATGTTGAAACATTGCGTCACTTTAAGTTGCAGTAAGTATGCTTAAAAATTTAATTATTATTGTTATATTTAAATGTTTATATTAACGATATGAAGTGATTTTTTCTCTTTTTCTTCTTGTTATATTTATATTGTTTGCGATGCGAGCGGCAGTTTTTTTTTCTTATTAATTGTTTGTAGCTAGCTATTTGTAGAATGGTCTGTATTTATATTATTGTGTAGACAAATTGTTTTGTGTTTAATAAACCTTATTAGTTGTCACGATTATTGGAGTAGAGTTGAATAAATGCACTGTACTGGAAGTGGTTCACTATACATATGTACGTTGATATTCGTATAAATGCAGTTTGCTAGGATTCGATTATGCTCTTGATGCAATTGCTTAAATTTATCAGTTTAGCGCCAATGGATGAATGATTGATTGATTGATTGATCTGTGCGGCATCTTAAGTCGAAGATAGACGATCTATTGAGTTTTTTTTCTGTGATTTCTGATTCGATGATTCGATTTGATGCAGTATGCGGTATGTTGATGCTGAGAACTTCATTCACGAATTAGTAGAAACGTTTAATGGACATGGATGGTTGGCATGGTGACTATGAAGCTATCGTCATCGTATCAAACATTATTCTTGCGGAAAATATCATTTGGGTGCTGATTGCTGCTAAAGTTCTGGCGTGTCGAGCATTGCTGTAAGAAACGTAGAATTGTAATTGACAAATGTTGTATTAAATGCGTGTGTGGTAACCAGCTGCGATGAGCATTATAAACATATTATGTTTTGAGCATATGACAGACATACTGACTGACAATTAGTTGTATGATTGCATTTTAATTGCTTGTTCCGGGCACATGACAACGAATGTCTGACACACACAACTATCATACCACCCATCATTACCATATAGGCAATTATCAGGCATTGAGGTCGCACCTAGCCACCTGGGCACATATATCGAACCATATTGAGACGCGACCATATTGAGACCGCTGCTGAATCGCTCTAAGCCACATTGGCCGACAGGTTGGCAGACTGACAAGCTACCTGGTAGCCGCTGGTGCCAGTGTTTGGATAATGACAGCTTAACTACTTTACACTGTTTGTGATTTGACCGTTGTGGTGTCAGTTAGCCAGCAGGCTATTAAAATAATTGCCAGGCAAATCATTTATTATGGCATGTGTCTGCCCCCAAGAGTTTCTCTCTCACTCTCTCTCTCAGACACTCTGGGTGGGTGTGTGTTGCGCTCATTAGCGCCGCCTGCGGGTGATAATTTCAATCAGGATAATAACTTACCGCTTGCTTCTTTTCCCAGGACTTCATGGCGGTTTTATATTTCTCGAATTCGTGACACCAATCCGAATAGATTTTCTGATAGTCATTGCTTTTGTTTGGTGGCGTGCATCTACATAGAAAGTGGACGGAGAAAACCATTCGTAATTAACAGTCAATTGAGGGGTAACCAATTTTTTTTCCTTTTCCTTTTCCCTTTTTTTTGGGGGGGTAACTTACCTATGTGCATCGACGGTAATGTTGTAGCTGCACAACAGCGAACCACCCAGGTGACAATCGTAGCGTCCCCCATCGGCCTCATTCACCGACACCACAACAAGTCCGCGTTCCGTCGTCTCAATGTATTTGGTTGGATTGTATTTGATCTCATAGCTGGCAATGTTTCGAATATAAGTGCATATTGTTAATTACTTTATGATTTCATGTCGAGCTGTGACTCACCGTCCCCTGTCCTTGGAGTGATGGTACCAGGTGACCTGTTCGTTCTTCAGCACCTCCGGTATCTTGACAAAGCAGCCCAGATGGACACTCTGGCCGTATGTGACGACGATTTTCTTCTTCAGCACACTGGAATCGCATATGTCGCTCGTCTCATTGGCCACATCCTGTTGTGTTGAGTGTTTATTTGTGTATTTTGCTTGCATATCGTTAACTGTGCCTGAATATGGCACACTTACCTGCAAAAGCTCCGATTCGTATGGCCGGCACGTGTTTGACTCCTTGTCCCAGCCGCAGTAGGGATCACGGACACAACGGAAGCAATTGTCATAACGTCGATTGCACATGGCCAAATCGATTTGCTTGATGCGATGATCGGTGCCCACATAGAGGGATTTACGTGTCTGACTGATTTCCATCACCTGAATGGCCTCGTTGGTCGCCACCTCAAATATGTCCAGCAACTTTGACAGCGATTCGCCATTGCGATAATACTGCACGATTTTGTAGATGCGACCCAGATTGGTGCCCACGTAATACACTGTGTACTCCTGGTTCAATATGTCGATTTTGATTCTGCCAAAAGATAAGCACAAAATACAAAAACCCATTCGTTTACTTTAAAAGTAGCATTTTGCTGGGCATATGCTGAGATTTAAACATGTAGCATGCATATGTAAATGTCTATCAATGGCTTATTGCCACCCTTTTGTTGCAATTGCAGTCATCGAAATTAAATGCCTATTTAATATGATAAATGGACAGAATATTAACGAATTAAATAGTCGCATCTGTATGCATAATGGCCGTGTTTTTATGTATTTTTTATTTTTAACTACACACCTTGCAACACCTGAGCGTATTGTTGTTGCTGTTGTTGTTATTGCAGCATGTTGTAAATGAAGGTATTAAAATTCGTCACATGATTTCGCCATTTTCAGACGCAGTCGCAGGGCAATTAATGCAAATATGTAGAAACTCGTTGCTCGCTTTTGCGAATAAAATATTACATTTTAATGTTCATATTTTTTAAGTGGATTTTTTATTTGCATAATATTTATCTATTTATAATATGCAAGAGCAATTTAATTAAAATTTTTATAAAACTTGCAAAAAAATTGCTTTTAAAAGGGTTTGGTCCGACTTTTAATTAGGAAACAGCAAAGAAAATTGTCAAGAATTTATTAATAAATATATTATGAAGAGAATGTAATATTTGATTAATTACAAAGCTTTGTTTTAAATCTGATATTCATATATTAATCTCAATATTTATGCTTACAATTTAAAATATTTTCAGTAATTACATGAGAAATATAAAAGTGCTGCTCTTAAAACGATTACGAATGCAATACAAAGATGAAATTCAAACTTTATATTTAGGCCAGAGAAACAGAGAGAAAGTTAGCAAATATACATTATTTATGTGCATACGAAAATTGCAGGATGGTTTTTTCAGTTGCACGAACCAAAGAGATTCAGAGTGGGGGTGGGATTATTTTTAATCTACCTGGCTATGAGCCGAAATTTAAAATTGATATTGTGTACAATTTGGCAACAAGCACTTTACTCTTGTGTTACTTAAAGCACTCAAATAATCAAATAATAAATTTACGTACATGGATTGGCACTTTCAGCAGACCACACAGACAAAACCACAAAAAGAAACAAATCGAAAAATGCAAATATATTATAAAAATTGAACAAAAAGCGTTCGACAACACACACTCGACTGACTGGACACTGTTTGTACTTGAAATCTGTGTGTATGTATCTATGTATGACACACATATATATATATACATATATAAGTGTGTACTTGTATGTATGTAGATATTTATTTATGTGTTCATATGTGCATGAAAGCAATTCAGTGAGAAAGGCAGAGAGATAACAAGTAGAAATAAAACTTACTTGTCAACAACGAGCTTTGTGAACACCAAATCCCTTTTATAATAGACCGGATTGTTGTGTTCGTGATTTACGGCTTTGTCCATAAGTGGATGCGAGCGTATGAAATTCAGGACGGTATCTGGCAGATTTGAGGTATCGTTGACACATGTGCCGGGTCGCGGATCGGGCACACGGGAGTTGAGCACCGGCAGCCAGGCGGAGTTTGAAGAGGATTGCTCCTTAAATTTGCCTGCAAGTGAGCAAAAACCAAAAACAAAATCAAGCAAACAAAAAATACGTGGTAAAATGTGAAAAAAAATGGCAAAAAGGATTATGGTTAAGAGTTATTCACTAACAGGAAGCTACTATGTATATGCTATATCTATGTATATATTTCAGGTGTATGTCGTGTTGCAATGAAGTTTTAAATCAGAGTCCCCCAACGTGTCAGCTGTTAAGCGTCTCAACGTACGTGTGTGTCAGTGTGTGTGTGTGTCAGCGTGTGTGGCAATAATCCATTCAAATGGATTTTCTAATACGATTTATGTTGCTCCACGGCAAAGGCGAGTGAAGCGCTGAAATTACAAAACACTCAACACACACTGTGAATACTTTGCATTGTCGCGCTGTCGTTACTAGTATTGGATCTGTGCTACCTATTGGATTTATCGCTGAACTATTACTGTCCCCAAGTCCGTGGAGAAAGAGAGAGAGAGGGACAATCATAGTGGGCCCTTTGGCCAGCAGCAGCTGACTGCTAAAACCGAGCAATGCAGTTTTCAGTTTGCAAATAAAATTTGCCGATAAGTTGCATTTTCCATTTTCTATTTGCTATTTTCTATTCCAACTTCTATTTCCACCCAAAGCACTTGAGGGATTGAGCACAATTTGGTTGGGGGACACAAAAAAAAAGAGAAAAAAATGATACAAAACAAAAGAGAAAATTGCACGTCTGTTGCGAGTTGACAGTTGGCAACATTGTGGCCACGATAACGTCTCGTTCATCACATCCATTTGACACACAACAGTTAAGATCTATATAAGCGTATGTACACACATACATATGTATGTGTACTCGGTACTCACCATTGAAGGCAGCCTGGACCTCGTTAATGTGGAAACTGCATACGGCTGATCCAATCAGGCCATTGGTGCTGGTCGTGAATGTGGCATAGAAACGAGTCTTGTCATTGGGCAGCTGATAAACCGATTGGATCTCATTGAAGTAGAAAGGAAATTCGCCCGATATGCTGCAATTGAGCCGTGCCTTCAGATATGTGGCCCAATTGTGCGCCAACAAATTCTTGCCACCCACATCCTTCTTGCAGACGCGTGCGATGCGCGAATAGACAGCCTTGCCACAGTTAATATACTCCACGGCCGTTTCGCGGAAAAAGAAATACACGTACTCGCCAATGTCAAAGGAGCCAACGAAATTGGGTTCTGTAAATGAAGAAAATGTGCAAGAAAAAAAAAAAAAAGAAAAGAAAAGTGTTTGTGTGAGATTGATGACCGCCGCTGAGTGAGTAACGATCTACATAATTGGATGTACCATAAGCCGCTTAGCTCCCAGCTCTCCTCTAGTAGTCTGTGCGTGCCGAAACACACAAACAAACAATACAAACTCATGCGCGAAATCATTTCTAAATCCTTTCCTATTTTTTTTCAATTTTTATCTAGAGCCAGAAGCGAAGCAGCTCACTGGCTCTGTATTTTTTTTTTTTTTACTTACTGTCCAACCACTTGGAATCATATTTGAGCGTGCGCTTGAATTTGTATTCCAAGCGCTTTGCTGACGTATTATATAAATCCGTTCGAAAGATCACAGTATCCGCCTTTGTGAATTCCGCATTGGTGCCCGAGTACTGTGGGTAAAGATACAAAGCATTGAGTGCGATAAACTTGATTGAAGTGCTTTGCTGGGGTTGTTTTTCTTCTTTTTTTTTCCTGATGCGGTTCACACACATATATATATATATATATGTTATGTATATACTTTTGCTGCTTACCAGACCAGGCAATCCGCCGGGATTACCGTCCTCCACGTAAATGGCAGTTGAATTGTCCAAAGGATCGTAGGGGCACTTTGCAATACCCAAACCAACACCGATCACATACTCCGAGCGTGGCAAGTGCGTCAAATTCGACTGGTAAATCAAATGAGAAATAAATAATAAATAACAGTTTAGTTTGGCATTTCTTATATTTAATTAAATTCAATTATTTCCTTTTAAATTGGCAATAGCAGATCAAATTCTAGCATTTAATTATGAAATGTGTGTCAAGAATTTATATGAAATATTAGTCCAGGCACGTTGAACGTAAGACCTAAAAACTTTTTACTAATTGTTGGGCTGATTGCCGCTGCTGAAAATGCTGAGCACAAAGGAGCAAAAACTTGCCAATCGTTGCTCTCAAATATTGCTTTTAGTTTTCTTTGTTGTTTGTAGCCTTCTTTTTTTCTTTTTGGTTTTTGTTTTGGTGAAGTTGAAGTTTTTGAGGGCACAAAATCAAAATGCATGCTTTACTGCTCAGCTGTGCACTTCACCTAATACAAACCAAGTTGTATTTCCAAAGAGACTCACACTGTGAAGAGAGAGAGAGGGGGCGAGGGCAAAGGTTGAATTGTGCACCTGATGTGTGTGTGTGTGTGTGTGCGTGTATGAGATTTGTATGGCTTGGCTACAGCTGCACACTAATGACTATTTTCATGACTTGTGCGCTACAAAACTTGTACAAGTTTCATATATGTATATGCCAAGCAGATGAAAACTAACGCATAGAAGTCGTCGAAAACGAAGAATTACTCTATTCAGGGCACATTTGAAAAGCGGCTAGATGCGTTTTCTTTGCCTTTTCCAGGATTACGATCTAAAGTCAACACAGCAGCACACAACACACAATACAAAATAAAAATTCATTCAAAAATAGTTGCGTGTTATCATTCCTTGTCCTCAGAACTTGTCCTTGAGCAGACATACAAAAAAGGAGGCCACAGAAAGGCTGGCTATTATGAGTACTTACATAGATGACGTAATCCTTGGGATTGTGAGCATTGGTGCCACAAACGTAGAGCCTATCGCCTTGCTGCATCGATTGTATGACACGCACATGATTCTTGCAATCAAAGACCTGTAAAAGATGCAAGAAGAAACATATTATTAAATCCGAAGAGACAATAGTACATACAAAGATACATTAAATAACAGCTAAGCAATTCTTTGTTTATTTCCATCAATAATATGTATTATGGGTTCTGATATGCTGCCAAATGTATAAAGATAATATCGCATTTGGATGGCGTTGCACCAAATTTGCTACTAAGTATGCTATAAACTACTACACACATAAAAAAAATAAATCAAAAAGAAATGGAACAATTTGTAATAGCACGCGTCAGTGCAGCCACTGTCGCTAAATCAATTGTGCAACAATGCAACATTGGAAAATCCCTGGCAGCATTATGATGACTTAAGCAAGCCACATACACACACACACAGCTGCAGCTCAAATGCGGACCGAAAAACACTACAATTGACATATAGATATAAGGCAGCCAGAATCTGTTATAGATATATATATATACATGCAGTCACATGTGTGTATATGTCAGCTAGCTTTGGCGGTCTGTGGCATGCAACTGAAACTGTGTGGCGCACGAAAAACTCGCTACAAATTGAAAAGGCACAAATAAATTGAAAAAGATTTCAAATGAAAGGATTTGCTGTCACATTATAAACGAGTTACAATAACAGGCAACGTTCCATTTACAAAGCGCAGCGCTAGAAACTTTATCGGAGTCGGTTGCGGTTTTGAAATTGGAGCATTTCGCGTGCGTTCTTCAAAACCAGAAAATTGATTCAGTCCCAGACGCTGCTGCTGCTGCTGTAGCTGTTGCTACAGCTGCTCGCTGAATGGAGTCCATATGCATGTGAAGTTGTAATCAGGAGAATGCCACCTCGATGCCTCGATATACATGATATAAAAATCAATCAAATGCAGAACAGAACGCCACAAATGCACCCGATTTATGAGGTTGTCTTGCACTTGGCATAAATAGAATGTCGTCCATACAAATGCAATCGTTGATTGAAATAGTTTTCACTCCTATATTTATATATCTCTGTGTCTGCTTAGCAGGCTTTGGAGTTATTGACTTACCTGACTTTTGCCCTTTGACACACAGCTCACAACATCGTCGCGTGTGGGTTCCAAATTGATAACATCTCGCTGAAAAACAAAGTCAATTTATAAAATTTAAAAAAAGTTCTATATGAAAATTTGTCAAAACCGAACCGATTTTCAAAAGAAATATATTTTTGGTTATTCTTTAGGCTCTAGATTAATACAGCATCTCAGTTTGAAAACATAATTTTAAGCAAATTCTATCCCAGAAAATCTTGGGGAAGCTTAAAAATTATCCACAGCTCAAAGATACTTATTTTTATTCTGTATTTCTTTTAGCTACTCGTCTATTAATTGAAAATTCAATTGAATGTAAACCACAAATTGCAATTGAGCGTCATATGGTGCATATTAATGGCATTTGGGCACAAGTCGCTACTTAAAATTTAATATTAATACATTTTGTATGCAGTCTCGATACTGAAGGAGGCGGCTTATGGCTGCAGCCAGCTTCTTGGGTGCAAATGGTTTTCGGATTTTTTTTCTTTCATTTTTTTTTTGTGGTTATATTTTTTGGTGCCACGCATAAACTACAACTAGAAGTTAGGCGGGGTTGGGTAGTGGGTGGTGGCAGCAAAAAGAAGTCCTGCCAGAACTTGGGCAAAGCTTCGTGTGGCATGCTTTCAAGCAAATTGATTTATAAATCACGTAATGTAACGAGCACATACGAAATATTTTCAAGCGAAATGCGCGCACGCACCACACAGCACCACCGTGGAGAGTGGTGGTAGAGCACACTACGCGTCTACATAAAACCAAATTCATGTATTATTTAGTAAAATTTGCATTTGCCGCATAAAGCAGCCAAAAGCAGCACCTTGCCACCTTGCCACACGGCCTCGTGGCTCGTAGGCGCTTGCAAATGATGCCCACGGCGAACGCAGTTTTGCTCGCAGCACTGTGTGTGAAATAACACATAAAATATATTGACGTATGCCGGTTGGGCAAAAGCTGACTGAATAAATGGGTGGTGCTGGGTGGTTGAATGTCTCGAAATGGCAACAAAACGTGGCATCTTTCGGTTTTACGATACGTTTGCGGCCAGGTTTCAGCTGCTGCAGGTGCAGGCCGAAGTTGCCACACAACGTCTCACTCATAAAACAAGCTTTTGTATGACATAAATTCATAAACAGCCTCCCACAACCAACACACACACACCCTAATATACACTCACTTGGTATGAATAGATGGATTCGCGTTCGTGTTATCGGCATTCACGAATTTCGATAATTTACAGGTTTGGCATTTATTCACACCCACACACACACATACACATACAGATTCACACCTCTGTGCTTGCTGGCAAAGCACACTGCGCCAAATATGTAGATCGGCTATAGTTTCAACTCATATTATGATAAATACTTGTTTTCCGATTGTTATTTTATTTAGTCTTATTTTCCATTTACCATAACTTTATCAAAACTAAATCAATTTTCAAAAGAAATATTAAAAGTGCATTTAAATTTGAACGAACAACAATTCTGAAATCCACATTTAAATTCTTTATAGAAAAATCCTCTTAAAAACCATACCACATTTTCTGCTGCCATAATTTCGTTAAAGCTGATCCAATTTTCTAAAACTACACTTTAATTCGACAAGTGTTTAGTCTGCATTAATCTAAAAATTATGGTATTTTATGCCTACTTATCCACTAACTAACTTCATTTATTTTTAACGAGTTTTGTTCTGCAACTAAATGTAAGTAGTTTATAATGCTTAATGATTTTCGCGCAGTGTACATAAATTATGCGGTACTCTCGGCAAATTACCACGAAACGTGGAATGTGGCCCTGTGTGCAGGGCAAAAACGAAATGGCCATAATGCAGTCCCCCTGAGCGAATATTAAATATGTTTTTGGACCTTTTTGTTCCGGCTTTGTTGTAGTATAGGCCAGGGACACGTTGCCAAAGGATGTGCCGGATGTGGCACGGCTGGGGCTGGGGTTGGGGTAACTAAAACACTGATATATATATATATATTTTTTTTTTTTCACTCGTTTACATCGGGGAATCGAAGATTTGTGGCTCGCATTTGATGCGCGCCTAAAAGGTGGCTTACCCTGGTCCTTTATCCTTGTGTTGTATTTTGTTTTGTTGCCCGAGTGTTGACAACGTCCGACGATAAAAAAATATAGCTAAAAGGACAGGCTTAAGCCAGTGGCGGACATTTGGCAACTACACACATACACACACACACACGCATAGCATATGTTGCGCGGGAGACGCGTAATGAATTTTTAAAATAGTGCCGCACTGTGGCACATATACAGCTTGTTTGCCTAAAAGCCTGCTACACGTTTTATGTGCTCTCTGTGCTCTCTGCTTGCCACGATTTGTTGCCAAGGGGGAATAATAATAACAAGAAGCACTCGCCAAACGAAACTCGTGGGAGCTTAGCCTTAAAGCAAATGTTCGGATTATGCAGGAATACTTATTGTTATTGTTGTTCACCATAGTTGCTATAGTTGCTGTCTTTTGTCAGTTTGATTACAAATTAATACGCAGTAATAGTAAATACTTACATCACAATACGATGAGGATATATTTTGCAAATTCAAACGGAACACCCGATCCCTGCAAATTATATGAGTGAACCGTTTTAGTCGTATGTCATTTGGTGGATTATTCGTTTACTTACATGGCGCCCACATAGAGCGAATCGCGCTCCTCATTCAAGTGGAAAGTGCGATAGTAGAGTTTGCCGCATGTGAATTCCCGCACATGATCTGCAAGTGGATGAAAAATAAGCAAATATTGTTAGCATTGTTCAGTCCAATTTCAATATTTAGACAACAAATTTTTCCTCAAGTGAGTGGCAGGCAGCACTAAACCTAAACTCAAACCTAAACCCAAATAGGAATACGAGTCGAAAGCGTCGCCGACTCCAAGTTGAAGTCCGGCACAAATGAGCGCCTGTCAACAAAGTTTATGCAGCGACATTGACAAAACGCAAACACAAAACGCAAACTCCAAAATAGTCTGAAGGGGGGGCAGGACACACATTGGGTGGACACGGGGAGGATATGTGCTAGGACACAACCACAGGCTGACCACACACACATACACAGAGAGAGAGAGAGAGAGAGACAAACGAGGGACACTCAGCCGGCGCCTGTAAGTTAGATATCCTGTTTCAATCAAATGACATTTTGACATTTCTCTCTTTGCAAAGGACACGGACACGGACACGGTCTCAGACACTATCAAACCAGCGCCGGCGTCATCAAATGTAGCCAAAGTGCAAGCTTTAAATGTTGTTTATTTACTTTTCACTTTGGCCAACACAAATACTCCAAACACAGACGCATACAGGGAAAATGCACTGAGTAGTGCGTATTAAGCGCAAAGATCTCCGCTGCGTTGCGAGTGGAGCTTTATATCTTATTTCAATTGAACAAACTTTCTGATGAACTTCTTATGCTCGACGGTAGCGCCAAAGAAGTGCAAGTTAAGCATTGAAAATTGTTCAAATCTTTGCAAACAGTTCATACGTGAAAATTGCATTAAAGCCAGTGCACAAAAGTATGCTATGAAAACTGAAACTTGCTCGAATGGTTTTTATCTTTGGATTTATTATTAAATTTTCTACATGATAATTTTGTCGTTAACTTTGTAAAGCATTCAAGAGGATTTCTCCGACTGCATAAGCTTAATATATATATATATATATATATATATACATATTATCAAATTACTATAACATATAGCTGAAATAGGAACAATCGGTCGACAAGCAATCCTAACCAATCTCATCTGTGATGCTTGACAATGTGCTCCTAAAGTTAGCATAAAAAAACTATTAGCATTCGATTACTATATCATATAGCTTTCTCAAGAACAATCGATCGACTTTCCAAATTTAGATGTCGACAATTTGAGTTTGGTCTATATAAACTTTGGCATGCCTAAGATAGCAGATCTAACTCATTTCTCTATTATTCTTTTGGGTTGCCAGTGTTTTGCCACACTGTGTAAATTATGAGCAGCATTGGAATTTGGAACAAGCCTGATTAATTATATGTCGGATGTGTGTGTGTGTGTGTCTGTGTGTGTGTGTGTGTGTGTGTGCACACTTATTATGTTAATTTCATTGACGACACGCTGTCTGTGCGTTGTTTGCACTTTTGCATGAGTGTGTGTTTGTGTGAGAGAGTGTGAGATTAAGGCGCAAAACGCTGAGCACGCATTTACTTAATTAAACTAATTAATATTTGCTTAGAGTGCCTGACGTTCTGGCCACACATACACACATATCAACACTCACACACACACACACACACATACACATACCAACACATACACACGCATTGTTATTTAATGTGGCTGTCAGGCAGTAAACTCTCAACAGCGCTATCGATATGCCGCCCAATTAATTTGCGGACAGTTCTTACAATTATGTCATTATGGAGACGCTCATATTCATATTCATGGATTTCTCTGCATATGTCAACAAGAAACAAATTGTCCGCTGCTTTTAACATTTGGCATTTAAACAGTGTCGCCTTGAAATAAAAAGTAATTATTGGGCGTATATGCTGACAAAGAAATATATAATTATTCCCATATGTTAATGATTTCTATATTGAGTCTTCAGCTAAGTTTGACCTCAAAGGCTCAAAGAGAAGTCAAATCAAAATAAACAACGAGTCAGCTTAGCTTAGAACATAAACATACATTCTTGTATATATATATATATATACATATACATATCAATAGATATTTGTATGTATGACTAGCTCGTACACAACAATGGAAAATGCAAATACTACCCGTTTCTATGTCATCCATGTTTTCTTGTACATCTCCGCCCGCCACACTCATGCCACACAAGTACAGCTATTTTTGATTTCCGATTTAAAGTACATTTTGGATAAAAGCAAACACTGAAGCTTTTTCGGCTTTCCCAAAAAGTAGCAGTGTCAATAAAGGCAAAAAAAAGGAATCTGCGTCTTTTGTTTGCCAACGGGAAACAACTACAACAACAACAACAGCAACTACAAAATACATATGCATATTTATACACACACACATATATATATACAATATATATATGTGCCTGTGTGTGTGCTTTTGCATATATTGCTCACAATTCGGGTAAATGTCCTTGCCAAACCGGAAGTCGACTTGTATACGCTTGAATTGTTATTGCACCCGTACTCCTTATCCCCCCCCAAACGATCCTGAACCCAAACCCCTTCGAATGTGTACTCGCATTTTGTTTGTCGTTCGCTGTCGAACTTTTTCCGCTTCTTTTTTTCTTTTAGTTAGTTGCTGGCCACTTTTTCACGTTGTTGCTGAGATTTTGTTGTTGGGCGTTCTTTAAGTCTACAACTTTAGACTTTAGTCCTCGATTGAAATAAGAACTCAATGACTTAAGCTGAAAATTAGGTTTACACATTATATTTATTTAGAAAGCTTAAACTAGGGAATCAAGTGAGAAACAAACAGAGCCATAGGAGTCCCATGAAGCGTACCTAATTTTCAAGTAAGCAGATTAAATTTGCAGTCGAACAAAATCATGAACTCCATTCCAGTTTGGCTAATATATTAATATGACAATACTCTAGCTAAGTATTCGAAATCGAAACATATTTTTCTTTCAAAATCCTATTTAATGTTTGTGTTTAGATAGCTTGTAGGCAAACATTGCCTACTTTGTGGCGCCGCTGTACAAAAACAAGTCCATAAACAGAGTTAACATAAACATATGACAAAAATATGTGCATATACTTATTAATTGGCTGTCTCAATAATGTAACAATTCCCAATACGATTTGTAGTTAAATTTATGTGCGCAAAAACTGAAATACTTTATGTGGGCTTATCGAGGGAAAAACAGCTTCTCGGACTACTAAACGATCTGCGGCATATTTACAATGGTAATATCCACAACACATATTTGCTGCTGGTGCCATTTACCCATTTCCATTTCCAGTCTACAATTGTCTAGCACGGCATTAAGAAGACACGCATTCCGAACGAAGTCTATAAAAATATTATACATATGGGCCATAAATGTTGTAAGTGTTGGTTGGTTGGTTGGTTGGCCGGGTCTGCGGAGGCGATAGGCAGCAGATAGGATAGTCTGTGAATGTTATGTTTATTCACATGCTGAGCGCCGGCGACAGCATAAATTGTTACGACTGCCTTCTGCGGAAATCAACTGAGTGGCTTCTCTGCTTTGGCTTCTGCTACTTTTTTTGTTTTTGCCCGAACGATAATAAATTGCAAATTGAACGGATGCTAATCGTAGGCATATTGTTTTTTGAAACAACGCCGGAAGGGTCCCAAACTTTGAAGAGCAAGTGTCAGCGCTGCGATGCATACAAGTGTTGCAGCTATAAACTTTGTGGCAGGTGTCGCATGCGACAATTGTGTATGGGAAGAAGCTGCAAAATTTGTTTGAGCTGAGCAACTGGCAAACATTAAGCCAAAAAGCAGTCGTAAATGTGTTTTACTCGCGGATAGAGAGGGGGTGGGAGAGAGAGGTGGAGGTAGAGATTAGGGGGAAGGGAAGAGAGAGATTCGTCTGCTTTATTTGCTTTTAATCCAAGTCCAATCAAAATCAAATTGCATTTACGAGCTGGCTTTCAAAGCGCGCACAATTTTATGACAGCCAAACATTTTTACTCACTCGTTTTTTCTTCTTTTTTTTTTGGCAAAGCAAATTGCTTTAGATTTTCGGTCGGGGGATTTATACATATATATATATATATATTTTTTATTATGGCCATACAGTGCTTATGCGAGTACCAATACACACACACATATATGCTTGGGTATTTATGACTCCATATATGTCAATAATTTTTATGCGCTTCATAAATATGCGTAAGTCTTTTCGTCCTTATGTCCTTTCGTCTTTACGACTCTGCGTCCTGGCAGTCAAATCAATTTCTTCAACTCGCCCTCGCCTGTGATGAGGGAAATGTTATTTGGAAAAACGTTATTATCAAATCAAATACAAAAAAAAAAAATGAATAATGCGACTCAAATGCAGTGAACATATTGCAAAATTTGTCTTGTGCACCGCAGGCCAACATGCCACACAGACTTGTCACAACCGGGCACAAGGGCCACAAGCAGCTGGCAGTTGCAAGTCTTTGGTGACAGGACAGTTTTCCTTTGAAATGTTTGCATTGCCAACGCTCCAAAGGATCCAAAGGGTCCCATAGATGCCACAAGCAGCGTTCACAAACTCAAAAAGGTGAGCTTACAAGTTTGATGACGGCATTTAAAACAGTTTATAAAATTGTGTGTTCATTTCTTTGTGTGTTTTTGAAAGTGTGAGCAATTAAAATACAAGGATTACACATAAAAGCAGTGTTCGGTGGTTAAGATTGTTTGACTTTAAGATTAACTGTTGAACTTTAACTGAACACTTCTTTTCAGGCATATTTGACAGTATGTGCTTTCAATAAACCAAGACATGCGATCATTTTATTCTATAGTAAATTAATTAATTCAAAATATGAACTTCAATCCTAAAGCTACAAAAAAATATATATTTTTAAATTATTTCCTATAACAAGAATAAGTATTTTTGCTCAAGACTTAATGCTTAAGACAAACTTTTGGAAGTAAAGAAATTCTTTTGATTTGTAGATATCGCATTAATTTATACATTTTCAACTTAAATGAAATAAATGTGAATTTGAATTAGTTTTCTCACAATTTCAGCATTAATTAATGTCGTTTTGGAATCAAGTTGACTGCTTGTCATTTA